GGGTGCTGTGGGGTTTTTTGGGTATCCCCCGGGTGCTGTGGGGTTTTTTGGGTGCCCCCCTGGGTGCTGTGGGGTTTTTTGGGTATCCCTCAGGTGCTGTGGGGTTTTTTGGGTGCCCCCCCGGGTGCTTTGGGGTTTTCTGGGTGTCCCATGGCTGCCGGGGGTCCCACCTGTGCCCCCCACCCACCCCGCAGACGACGGGCGCCTGGAGGAGCTGAAGGCGTCGCTGCCCAGCCCCGAGGAGCTGCCCGGCTTCCGCATGTTCCCCATCGACTTCGAGAAGGTGGGTGCTGCCCCCCGACCCCTCTGGGGGCTCCCTGGGGTGCCCCCCACCCACCCTGGGTGCCCCCCACCCCCGGGTGCTCACCCTGAGTGTCCCCAGGACGATGACACCAACTTCCACATGGATTTCATCGTCGCCGCCTCCAACCTGCGGGCAGAGAACTACGACATCCCGCCGGCCGATCGTCACAAGGTGGGGTTTAGGGGGCATTATTGGGGTTTTTATGGGGTGTTATGGGTCCTGGGGATGTTACTGCGGTTTTATGGGGTGTTACTGCTGATTTTATCGGGTGTTACAGGGTTTTTATTGGGTGTTATTGGGGTTTTAATGGGATGTTTTGGGGTTTTTATGGGTTGCTATGGGGTGTTATGGGTCCTGGGGGTGTTACTGCGGTTTTATGGGGTGCTGTTGCTGTTTTTCTCGAGTGTTATGGGGTTTTTATTGAGGGTTATGGGGTGTTATTGGGGTTTTAATGGGGTGTTGTGGGGTTTTTATGGGGTGCTATGGGGTGTTACTGCAGTGTTTATGGGGTGTTAGTAGGGTTTTTATGGGGTCTTACAGGTGCTGGGAGGTTTTTATGGGGCGTTATGGGGCGCTGTGGGCGCTGGGCAGTGCTTGGGGAGGTCCAGTGGGTGCTACAGGGGTTCCTGTAGGACATTCCTGGAGTTGTTATGGGGTGCACGGGTGTGTCTGGGGTTGTTATGGGGTGTGTCTGGGGTTGTTACGGGGTGTGTCAGGTTGTTACAGGGTTGTTTTCTGGGGTTGTTATGGGTTGTGTCTGGGGTTGTTATGGGGTGTGTCAGGTTGTTACAGGGTTGTTTTCTGGGGTTGTTATGGGGTATGTCTGGGGTTGTTATGGGGTGTATCTGGGATTGCTGTGGGGTGTGTCATGTTGCTACAGGGTTGTTTTCTGGGGTTGTTATGGGGTTGTTATGGGGTGTGTCTGAGATTGTTATGGGGTGTGTCTGGGGTTGTTATTGGGTGTTACAGGGGTTGTTAGGGATGTCTGGGGTTGTTATGGGGTCCCTTGGGTGCTATGGGGCATTACTAGGGTCATTATGGGGCGTGCAGGGCACACCCAGAACCCACACCAGTCCCATCACAGCCATGACACCCCAGGGACACTGGAGACCCTCCCCAGACCCCTCAGGGCTCTCAGTGGGGCAGTTCCTTCAACCCTAAACCCTTTAACCCTTTCCCTGTTGGTTCCCAGAGCAAACTGATCGCGGGGAAGATCATCCCGGCCATCGCCGGGTCTGTCCCCCTGACCCTAAACCGTTTAACCCTTTGTTCCCAGAGCAAACTGATCGCGGGGAAGATCATCCCAGCCATCGCCACCACCACGGCAGCTGTGGTGGGCCTGGCCTGCCTGGAGCTCTACAAGCTGGTGCAGGGCCACCGGCGCCTGGCGTCCTACAAAAACGCCTTCCTCAACCTGGCGCTGCCCTTCGTGGGCTTCTCCGAGCCCCTCGCCTGCCCCCGCAACAAGGTGGGCACGGGGAGGGGCGGGGGGCGCTG